TTTGGAAATGATGATGCAGACAATGTACTCCAGACTAGGTGCGTTCCTCTAAGTCTTCCTACCAACATGGCCATGTTGCGAAAACAAGGTCAAACAACCTCTATACAACGAAAGGAGACTGTGACCACACAAAAGGCCATACCATCTTGGTCTTTACACCTTCACTTCTATAATTGTTTATCAAGTTTACCCATTGACTTATCTCGAAAGCACTGCCCACCTACTGAAAATGCCTTTATCAGGTTTGGTTTCAGAATCGTCGAATGAAGTTCAAACGCCAAAAGAAGTCGGGCGATCCCTCCCTCCTGTCGTTGCCTCTGCCCGCCAGTCAGGCCGACATGTGGACTTGTGGATCGGCCAGTTCCATACGAGGCCTTCCCACCGGCCACGATGGCGCTCAGCCCTACCGACCGTCAGAGTCGCCGGAGCGATTGAGGCCAACCGTCTGGACGACGGATGGTTTCGGCAGCGGGCCATTGGGGCCCGATGAAATGCATCTTTCGTCCAGCCAGTTTTTGAGGTCTCCCTTCGGCAGGCCTCATTTCCTCCAAGGGACGGTTGCCAACCTCGAGGCCGACAAGAGACAGACACGACCCTCTTCCGGACTCGACGTACCTTTAACTCCAGCCTATAAAAGCCTAGATCATGCAGTCTTTGAGCCTTCCGAGCCGAAATTTCAATGTCCACACACGGCCCAACCATGCCATGCTCCACAGCCCTCGGCAACACCATCGCCTTCATGTCGGTCACACGTCGTCATGCCGACGCGTTCCTTCTCCTCGCCCCAATTCCCCGTCGTTCAGGCGGCACAGTCGAGTCTGCCGCTGCCATTTGAGACGAACGGCCAGTTTGGCGAGGCAATCACGAATCCCCGTCAGCCGCACCAACCGGCCACATTGCGGCCGAGATTAGGCGAGGTTTGGACACCGACGATCGGCTGTTGGTGCCATGCGGTGGGGCATGGCCAAGAGGGGTACACTTCGCAAGATTTACACCCTCCTCGAGACTTGGGAGGGTGGAGTTGTCAACAATTTTGTCCGAACAGTCGCCAACTCGAGGCGTCCCACCGGCCAAGTCCGCTGCCGTCCGGTCTGGTCGAAGAATGGCGGACAAACTTCTGGCCCGCCACAAAGCAGACTTTCGCCCAAGATACTGTTGTCGAGGTGCCTAAACTATGGTCTGGGAGCAGTTCCGACGTCTACGTGGAGGGAAGAGACAGCCAGACGGAGTCTAGAGGGTCATCAAGGAGACGGGAAATTGAGAATTTTGAGAATGAAAACGAAGAAGAGAATGGTGATGGCGATAATGCTGATGCTGAAACGGATACTGCTGCTGCTACTGCTGCTGATTATGCTGATGATGATGATGATGATGGTGGAGACGAAGAGGGAGAATGGGAAGGCATGGAAATCAGTGAGACAGAAGACGGGCAAGAAATGGGAGGTGGAGTGAAGCCTCAGGATGGATTAAATTCCACAAATAACAAACTCTGTTCCTCTTTTCACTTCAAGACCTCCCTGTTGCAGCAGCAAAAATACAAAGAATTGCAGAAAGTGGGAGCATTTGCGCCGAACTACGATAAAAGGCTTAAAAATATGACTACTTATGGCAACTACTTAAATCATTATGACTATAATGAAGGCCAGATGAATGAATATATTGACTGCAGGAGGCTCAGAAGGTTGGAGAATTATGACTGTCAAGCACACTTTGTTGACAGGTGACGGTACAAAATTCCATTGGAAGTAGGCAAACGTGTGCTGAGGCGAGATGGGGACCAACAGCTAATCTATCGCATTCGACGTCTTCATGCAATTCGATATATCATATTCCTAATACATTTGCTCTAAAGTCCAATGTTCTTTGATTAACAGAATCTAATTCCAATAAAGAGAAAGCATAATTAACT